TGGCAACAAAGGAAACAAACTGATCTACAAATGTGATCAATGCAATTATAAAACTAATATTAAACGTTATTTAAATAGTCATATAGCGATGCATAAAAAGAAGCCATTTAGTTGTGAAAGATGCAGAAGGAATTTCGCAGACCAAGATCTTCTCGACATTCACATGAAAAAGGTTCACGGGAACCGATGTAAAAAGTGCAACAGAAAATATGAAGACAAATCAGTTTTGAATGAGCATGAAGCGCATTGCAATTTAAGACTGTATGAATGTTATCTATGCAGATATAGTCATCGAGTCATAACTTGTTTGAAGACGCATATGAGAATACACACTGGTGATAGACCTTTCAAGTGTCAATATTGTAATGCTGCTTTTTCACAGAAAGTAGCTCTGAAGCGGCACCAAGAAAGTATTCATAAATGAAAGATTTATTTCTACGTGTTTCTACGATTTTTGTGCTCAACGAAATTATTCAATTTTTTAGTGGTGAAACCTTTGTTGAATGACCCTCATTCGAATCATTCTCTAGAACAGACTTAATGTTGGGGATATCCCATTTACATTGTCCAATAGCGAAATTAGAAAAGATCAGAACAGTGTAAAAAAATGGAATTCATTCAAATAAACCAAACCTTAGAGGATAACAATAAACATATTGCTCTTTGAATGTATGCCCGATGCATACGGACACAAAAAAATGTATGAAAAAAATATGACAACAAAATGTGTCTGTGTGAATTTCACACTGTGAAGGTACTCCGTTCACATGCAAATTATTCTCCATTCCCTTGCTGTTGTGTGTATTGATCTCTCGTTTCTTAAGTGTGCGTTCGCTATTAAGACCCATTATCTTTATGCCAAGATGTGTGAATGTGTGCGTTCATACTAATTATGACATTTCTTCTGTTAGTGTGTTTGTTGTATTCATTTGTCCAGCTGTTGAAACGTCAAAAACACCGCTCACTCATTAGCCATCACACATTTGAATCAACAAGTTGTTTCATAAAAAAAAGTTTATATATTTGAAAATAGTGCGATTAATCAACAAGAGATATAAATAAAAAGGCGCCAAACAAAAATTGACAGTGAAAAATTCGAAAGTTCTGAACAAATCCGTTGGATTTACTGCGTGTGTGTCAATTGAAGAAAGGTAATTAGTAACAATGAAGTTTTTTTCTTGGAAGTGATACGAACATATTCAATAGAAAAAGCTGTTTACACAGAAAATGAGCTCATGGTTCTCTTTAAAACAAGAGCATCAATTTAGTCAGTCAATAACCGTCCACATTTTTCAGTTCAATCAACGATGTCTAGTTTTATGAACACAATAGTGCCACCAAAGCGAGACTGGATGGATTTAATAACCGAGATGCTTTGGAGCATTGAACGAGAGGCAAAGTTCACATTGAGAGGCCTTAGCGATGATTTCAAACAATCGGGACTGTCATTCGACGTGGATTTTCGTAATCATTTCTTGCAAATTATTCTGAAAAGGTAGGAAATTTTCGGCGTTCCGTTTGCTCTTCTTTATTTGGTGTATTTTTTTATTATTTCTCAGTATAATCACTCTCGATTTACTTAAAATATTCATTTTTCTTTTGCAGAGTTTCAAAAACATACGATCAATTTATAATGAATTTGGAATTTGAAGAGTTGAGAACTGGATTCGACGAGAGTGCGATGGATGGAAGAGTGTTTTCTATTGATCAACTACAAATGACAAATAGACCATATGTGGCAGAGAAACGAAAGACCCCAGATGAGTCTGACGTCAATGAACAGACATTTTTGATCAAAAGGCCCAGGGTAGACGAGGGAGTAAAGATGAATGAAGAATATAAAAGTCATTCGGAATCGGAAGAATTCGGTAGTGAGCCAGATGAAGACGATGCTATCGTTGAATCGAATATTGCGAATGTGGATGACGATGAAGAATGCACTCCAACAATGTTACAATCCACTATACACACCGAGAGGGATGTGACTAATGAACAAGCGAAAACAGTGTCTCGAAAAGGAGAAGATCACCGATTGATTCAAGTCGCAACTAATGCGGCATCAAAGTCGATAGTCGGAACGGAATCAGAAGTGCCCATTGATGTTGATAAAATTGCAGGTAGTTTTAGGAAAAATGGATCGGTTGAACTTCTTCACTATATCTTTCATTAAATTTATTTACAGATGCTGTGCCACAAACATCAAAATTTCCATCGAATACGAAGAGTAAAGGAGTTACCCGTACCAATCCAACAATCGAAAGAGAAGTAAAGACCAACGACCATCAACCCAAATTACCACTTGCTCTGCGTCCGGCACCGGCTTCAGTTAAGGAAATACGGTCACGAGAACTCAAAAACACGGACACCGAAATCGATTTGAGTACAACTAAATCAGCATCCACCGATGACAATACATCGAAAGGTGCATCGAATGAAAAATCAATTAAGAGACGACCGCCAAAAAAATTGTTTCGCATCAGTAGCAACAAAGAAAATCGACCGATGCATAAATGTAATCAATGCGATTATCAAAGTGAATATCTAAGTAATCTAAAAAGACATATGGGATCGCACGAAGAAAAGCCATTCCGTTGCAGTAGATGTACAATGTTCTTTGCCGATCAAGACCTTCTCGATATGCATATGAAATGCCACGAAAATCGATGTATAAAATGTCGAAAGCGATTCAGCAAATCGGAGGCATGCAAAGAACATGAAAAGCGATGCATCAAACAGTAATATGAATGGCATCCAAAAACCAATGTCTGCATTCATGTTTATAAAAACTTATTATTTGAATTCTTTAGCATGTATATCGGCGGCACAGAGCTGATACTTTGTATTGTAACAGACACAGAAAATAAAATAAATGTTATCAATGGAACGTTTTATTTGTATCAATCTTGATAAGGAAAGAAGCGTGTTTGCTGTTGAATTCTGTTTTGAATTAAGGTTTGGTTGATTTTTTGATAAATTAGATTATTTATTTACTTGTTATCAATGTCTTTGGCAAAAAATATGGGAGTCCAAATCACTCTTACTGCTTTCATTCAGATTAGATAATATAAGGAAGTGTCATGAATACAATTATTGAATGAGAATAAACAAACGGGTTCTTATCTACGACGTTATCAGTTATCACACAATAAATTTGTACATTTTGCTTCAATTGAATTTTCATTACAGCTTAAATGACCAACATATTTCAGTTAATCAATAAAATCGAATAGTTCAGTTGGTGGTCGCTTTCAGCAGTCGCTAGAAATATGTCAGGAAATACAGTTGAATCATGTGTTCCAAAGTGGCTTCACGTTAAATTTTTGGAAGAACACCTACAAAATTATTATAAAAATGATGGCGTAAAATTGATTACTTTCCATGTAAAACCATTCTCCGCCAAAGAAAATGGTTTTACCAGTTCAATGTATCGCGTCAAAGTGACGTTGGACATTCCTGGCAAGGGAGTTGGCGAAGTCAAGGGAGTTAAAGTGAGTTTTCTCATGGAAATTTTGATTTTTTTGAAGAATATTTTTTCTTCATTGAGGAAATTTTCGTTCATCAAAAACAGACCTTAGACTTGATTGTGAAAGAGGCCATAGGTGATGCTGAATTTTTACAACAATATGATGTGTACAAAAAAGAGCTTTTGTTTTATGAGCAAATCATTCCAAAAATGAATGAAAAACTGAAATTACTCAACGAAACGGATATGTTTCCCGAAGTGTATGGGGCATGTAAATCACGGAATATTATAATTTTGGAAGATTTATCAGTGAAAGGGTATCAAGTATTGCCAGTAATACGTGGATACAATGTTTTGGAAACGAAATCGATTTTAAGAAAATTGGCTTTATTTCATGCGATTTGTGCGGTATTGCAAGAGGAACGATCGGACATATTTTCGATTTGTAAACTAGGTGAGTGCCTTTGAAAGCTTGTTGTTCCTTGCGAGTCTCTTAATTTTTGTCATCTGTAGGTCATTTGAGTCGTGGTGCTAATGGATTCAATAATTTTTACGTTGGAACTTTCGAAACTGTCATTGAGGTCTTATCTGAATGGCCTGAATTTGATGTGTATACGAACAAATTGCGTCGCATTGGCGATCAAGTTATAGAACGAGGCTATCAAACGTACGATATGAATCCGGAACATTTTAATACACTGAATCATGGTGATCTTTGGTGTCCAAATGTAATGCTGAAAATGACAAACGGGACTGAAGAGCATCCTTTTGAAAATGTTAACTTGATTGATTTTCAATTCTCTTATTGGGGATCACCAACAACGGATCTGCATTACTTTATGAATACGTCGATTGATGGAAATCATCGTCCTGAACGATTTTATGAATTGATCCGTGGTTATCATGAACATTTGACCGAGTTTTTGAAACAATTGAATTACCACAAACACATTCCAACTTGGACTGAATTTTATAAACAATATCAGGATAGACGATTTTTTGGTAGGACGAGTGTATTCGAAAGGTCGATGTTGTTTAATTCAAATGTGCCATTTCTTGTTACAGGTTTCATTGTGTCCTGTTTGCTACAGCCGATGGAAATAAATAACCATTTAAACTTTGAATTCAAAGATTTTTGTATGAATGACGCAAATGGAGCGAAAGCAAGACGAAGTCTGTATGAAGGGGAACAAATTCGAGCAAATCTTCGAAAACTCATTCCATATTATGATCAAATGGGAACTTTTGAACTAAATTTTGATCTAGGGGGAAAGAACAAGCCAAAAAGCTAAAAAAATACGATTCAATACACAAAATAAATGTCAATACGTGTAAATACGTGTAAATACTTGTCAATACTGGAAATGAATGTAAATACCGGTAAA